GAAGGAGAGGTAAACCTGGTGGCCATAATGCCAGATGGAAAGATAGTAAGTATCAATTCTGAAATTTCTTATTCAAAGGAAGATTTAAAAGCACAGCTTAAAAATAAAATGTATGTTCTTCCTGAAGGGCAAATAGTAGTGCCAGAATGAATATTATGGAAAATAGTTCAGGAAGAACATAGGAAGACACACTGTGGAGCAGATGCCTTATATAATAGTCTAAAGAGACAGATAGTGAGATGTAACCTGTACACCACAGTAATACAAATTACAATACAGTGCAAACTCTGTCTCCATAATAACCCCCAGACTACTAGTAAACCCAATTTAGGGACAATTGGGAAGGGCAATCTCCCTGAACAATAGTGGCAAATTGATTTCTCTAAACTACCCAGAAAAAGGAGGTACAGGTGCCTTTTAGTACTAACAGATACCCTCTCTGGCTGACTGGAAGCCTTTCCAGTCCAGAACAACAAGGCTCGAGAAGTAACCAAGGAGCTCCTTAATGAAATAATTCCCAGATTTGGAGTACCAGCAACCATATCCACAGATAGAGGTACTCATTTTTGGGCACAAATTGTAGAGTAAATCAGTCGGATATTACGAATTGATTGGCAGTTAAATACCCCTTATTGACCACAGCCTAGTGGACAGGTACAGAAGGTGAATCATTTGATTAAACAAAAATTAGCAAAGATTTGTCAAGAAGATAACTTCAGCTGGAGTCAAGCATTACCTCTAGGCTTCTTGCGGATAAGGGTTAAACAGCTATTAAAAGAGAAACTAAGCCCTTTTGAAATGCTTTATGGGCAACCATATACTGTACAATATCAAGGGAAAGACTTAAATGAGGATGTGGTTATGAAAACTTTCCTGACCACAAGCAGTCACTCAACTACTCACAAAGAATGGGAAAGCTTACGACCCCCCCAATATTTACCAAAAGGGGTTCCCAACTTGTCACTCTAGCATGCCAATTCGAGGCAAATTCGCCCTCGTGGCCAGTTACTATGATGAACCTTTATGCAATACCAAGCCAAAATCCAAACTTCACCCTGTCTGTATCCTGTATGAGTGCAGAGTGTTTATACTCCTTTAACATCCAAGAACACAGCATTTTATCCTGTATAGGATATTTAGTAGAGAACCAAAAATGGAGACGAGCCTCTAGATGAATTAGCATTAAAATACCACAAGATCAATCCACTATGATAATACCCTTTAGTAAAGATATGCCAATGATCCCAATAAATACTCATGAAGACCCTAAACAGGTAACGGATCCCTCTAATCCTACTACATCAAAAGAGAAAAGGTCCATCCTAGGACACCATAAATGTAGTTTGAGTCTTTGCCTTGGGGGAAGGATAGACGGGTTGATTTATTTATGATACACGGTTGGAAATGACATTAAAGAGAGACCTGTAAGAACTCCCTTGGATGAATACTCTCCAACAATATCTGTTAATAACATCCGAACCCAGATATGTGCACAAAGATATGGAACATATCCTATCTTAAACTCTTTTTAAAGGCCCTAAAAACTATACCCCTGAGTTTACAATATCCTGAATAGATAGAGATAAAATTTTAGCTAACTGTTCTGAAAGGGAAACCTGCTGACTTAATCTTACAGTGACTGGACTAAATATTCTAGCATTTAACTGGACACAAGGACTGGATGGAATGTCACTTAGGCTCTAGGCTGAGAGCGGAAGTCGCCACACTCACTGCATCTACTCCCTTCTCTCCTTCAGAACGTGTAGTCAAATATCACAATCTCTCATTTGCAGGACCTCATGTGGTCAAATGAACAATAATTGATGCTAGACCCTGATAACTCTTTAAATAAAATGTTGGTAAGGCTACAAGCTGATATCTTGACCATAAGATCAGAATGTAAACCTTTTATTAACCAAAACTTTGTAGGATGGGGAGCCTGTATTCAGTCTAGAATACCCTGTGCTAGACATAGAATGGACTTGATGGGATGGTTTGGATCTGGAATGGAAGTCTTAAACTCCTTTGATCAAGAAGTCTTGATCAAGAAGCTGAATTAAGCACAGTCATCTCAAGTTAGGAAATCTAGAACTTTGGCTCACATCATCTCTCCTTACCATTGCTGAAACACAGCAGTTGGTAAGTGATCTTACAACAATGTTAGCAGAACACACCTCTTAGGACCTGTATCACATTACTGCTTTTAGAGGGAATTTGCAAGGAAACGTGTCGCTAGCTTTAGACTGTATTCAGTCACAACTTTAGTTACTATTAGGGAAGGAGAAATGGGACTTTTGCCACAAGAGGTATGAGCAATTATTGCTTGAAATCATACTGCCACTGATTTTGAGAAAACATACCAAGCATCGTGGAAACTAGTAAATTTCACCTGTAACCCATTTCAGAGGGAAATTACTGCTTTTGTGTTGACAATTGAACATGCTGAAGTATTAGACATATTTCCTGTATTGTCCCTAGGGACCACACACCAAGGCGTTGTAGTGAGACTGATGGGACACAATGTATGGGCAAAATCTAACACGAAGACCTAAAGCTGCCAAACTATAAGCATAGAAGAGGCTTGTAGTCCAAGAGAACAGTTAGGGTTTATCTGTGAAAATGCTGTAACTGGAAATTAAGATCTCTGTCTCAATACTGAAGATAGCACTTGCATTTTCAAAATGATCTCTGTCACTCATGCAAGCTCCCAAGTGTATTATATTGGAAAGGGATGTGCTTGTATAAGAACCGCATGTGAGAATGTAACAATTGATAACTGTATTGAAGAAACAAATGCTACCAACTTTTGTGTTCACCAAAATCATTGGATGTGATTTGGATTATACCATCGCTGTAACTACTAATCAAGTAATACAAGATACCTATGTGTTATACCATGTTATACCTGTCATACAAATTGGACAGAAAAGTAGAAATGCTAAAGAAGGTGTTGTATCAACCAGAACTCAAGAAGATGATACACCAGGTCAATGAAACTTCCCACTGTGCAGTATGGACTGTTAAGCACTGTGTAGAAGAAATTAAAGAAATCATCGCTGACATCAAGACAACTGGAGAACACCACTGGTGGGAAGTTTTCTTGGGAGGGACAAAATGGCAATCTCCCACGGCAACTCAACTTTACAATTTTCTGGTCCACCTTGTTTTTATGCTAATCCTGACTATGGCCTTATTGACTACTGTTAATTTATGGATATGGTGGAAAATTTGTATACTAGCTCAACAAGCGTACGTACTATGGACTGTGCAAAAGAATTTGCACAATTTTGAAGGAAAGAGAGGATTGAGACCAAGCCATTAGGCCTTAGTTGGCATAACTTTGCTATTTAGGAAGGGTATGACCACACACACTTAATAGAAACCCGTCTGCAAGTAAGGACCTGCCCTCCTGGTGGGGCATGATATACAGTAACGTAGAACTCGGGTGTGTAGGCAGCCTTGCATCTGCTCTTGTAAGTTGCTTATAAGCAGGGACATCCCTAATGGCAAAATATGATAACAATTTGAACAAAGAACCAAGCAAGTAGCTCACAGGTATTAGCAGTTAATCAATAATACTAAGCTAAAAGGTAAACGGCTGTAAGAATGCTGATTAATACTAACCCATAGACTATCGTTATAGCCCTGACCCAAGTGCACAACAGGATAAGAAAACCGCAAGTTACGTAATTTACTGAATTGTCTGAATGTGTAGTTTAGATAAAATTGTATCAAGATGAAAAGTAGGTATAAAAGAGCCCCTAAGATTTACTGTTCTTTGGACATGCGTATGGAGGTTTGAACCCCCACATGCTCCTGGTGCCAATGAAGTTTTGTGCTTTACAGTGCATACTGTGGAGTGATTTCTTTGAATCGATCTAAAACATTGTTTTCTGTCTATGAGCTAGTAAGAGCAGCATTTGCTTTTTTTGTTTGTTTGCTTGCTGGTATCAAGGAAAACTGGTTTTGTTTTTTTTTTTACTGCAGATTTGCAGTTATCAAAAAACTGTTTTTGTTTTTTTTTTTTACTGCAGATTTGCAGTTATCAGTCTTTCACATGAGAGAAACAGGTTAAAGTTTAGCATTAGCAGCAAAGTTTTTACAAAAGCCCCAAGAAGATCAAGCAAGGATGTTCTTCAGCAGTTTCCTTGATCAGCTGTACTTTAATTTGCTGCAGAGACAGTCATCTGGTCAACATTATTTTCTGTTAGATTTAGTGTTTGTTTGGAACAAATACCTGCGTGGCCATATGTGTGCTTGAGGCAATGTATAGGAAGTTGTAAAGGGAATGAGGGTCTGCTGTTCATCTTGATGTCATCATCTTGGATCAGTTAAGGTTCTTGGCACTAAACTCTGTCTCAAGCTTACAGTTCCTAGAGTCACTGTCAAAATACTAAACAGCTTGAATCATATTTTTGCACCAGTCTCAGTGCTTCTGGTCCCTTCTTACGGTGAAACCATTTCTTTTTCTGTTAAATAAGACCTGATACAGCAGCACAGGAGGTGGTTGGGCACTTGTTACACCTGCGAGAGCTCAGTGAAGATGCAGATGTGATCTAACGAAGGAGTAGCCACAAATCTTGACAAGTTTACTTGTACGTTACTCCCACACACTGTTAATTGAAGTGTCTACAGTGTGTTGGCTGTGAACAGCTTCTGTGGAACTGTTTCTCCTAGGCACAGTCACTTCCTCAGTCATATGACAGGCTGGTGTAAGAGTCGCTGCAATGGCTCTATTCTCTGAGGAATTTTTTAGGGAGTAAGCAGTCTTGGTGACAGGCTAAACTTGCTGGAGTTGTCTTGCTGCTAGTGCTTTTGAAGTAACATTTTGCAAAAGAAGTCTGGTGGTTTGTTGATGTCTTTAAGACAACAAAACTGTATGTTATTGGAGGGCCTTTATTACATGCTGAAGCCCAGACCTAATCCTAAGTTACTACTGAATATGGATACTTAACCTGTTTCTTTTCTGTTTCTAGCTAAGGCACGAGTGTCTGTCCAGAATGTCCAGGCATGCACAACTTAGAGACCATGATGTAAATCCATGCATAGCGGTAAGATGATCAAATTGGGACTTTTGTTTGTATGTTTTAAAGTTAAAGAATACAATTTCTAGAAGATTTTTTTTTTTAATGGGTAGCACTCTTACATTGACGTTTTGCATTAAAAGTTTCTTAAAGAGTCTGAAGATGAGAAAAATCATACGTTATAGTAAATGTGAAATAACAAGTAAGTCCTTACAAATAGGAATAGTACAGCTGATAACAATCTCTTCAATTTTCTGTCCTTAAAACCGGAGCCTGAAATCCTAGTTAAACAAGCTTGGATGATTTTTAGAAGTCTTTTGTGGGTTATACCAAGCATCTTTGTAAACAACTATTCTATGGACTCTATCCTTACTATTTAAAGATCACTAATGTCTGTTTTCTTTAAATGAAGTCATTGCTTGGAATTACTGATTATCCTTTGTGATAGATGTTCTTCTGCTCTCTTTGATAGTATTCTTTCATCTGAGAAGCTGCCTCCTCTATCTTCATTCTGGGATTTATTAGAATTTTTAGACATTGAGTACAGTAACTTTCTTCAGCCCTGAACTGTGTTTTCCCTGTTAAAGGAAACAGATGCCTCTAACAAATGTATGGATGACAACAACTATAACAAGGATAAATGTACTGCGTATTTTTTGAAGTACAGGAACTGCAGAAAATTCTGGGTAAGCACAGCAGGTTTTCTAAATTTTACTCCATGCCTTGCTTTAAGTACATTACTTCTGGCACACTGCTTTCTGAACTCTGCAAACTAAGTGCTGACTACTACTGTTTTTACAGTGACTTGCAGGCCTAGGTAGTCTCAGTATGTATTACTGGAAGATTTTTGCAGATGCACGTCAAAGTACGTCACTTGGTTCTCTTAAGTTTACCTTCTTGGATTTATGAGTCAGTGTTTTTGCAGTACCTGATAATATTTCCCTCTGAATTTGAGTCAGATATTTCTTCTAAAAAGTTTTGGTTTAAATGGATGTAATGAAAAAATTTCTGAGGTAAGTTCCCATTTTTCCACGGGTTTGGGTCATGCTTACTTGAACCTAAGATAACGCTTAGGAAGAGTTCATTCTTATTTGGTGGTGTCCTTATTTCCTTCTCTCTTGTGGTAGAGAAAGCATCATGAGGAACTATGTGCAGTTAAACTGTTCCCTATTTTCTTTTTGTATGCCTTAGTAGTAAAGAGTCTTCTAGCTTAGCCTTGCACAAACTACCAAAAAAATATTTACAGATGTTAGTCTGACATAGTGAAATTACAGTATTCCCGTTACACTATTTGCTGAAGCAGCAAGATAAACTATCAGATTTCTTCAATTAAATACTAGCACATCTTGTTATCAGCTAATCAGAGTATCAGGCTCTAGATCTATAGAGTGCTTCTATTAAAGAATCTTATTCATTCAGAGCTCAGAGGCAGAGATTTCTGAGAAATCTGTGTTCTAATGATCACTTTGTTTTCAGCATGCCGTTATGATGCAAAGGAGAAGAAATGGTGTGAAACCAGAGATGCCCTCAGCAGAAGAGAGAAAGAATATGTTGGAATCGATGGGGAAGCCCTACTGACTAGAAATTTGCATTGCTTGTCTGTTTTCACCATACATATGAAGATCTACCTTTCATGAACTGGACCTTACAGTTGCCATATCTTGGATTAAAATAAGCTTCTAGATTTTGAAATGTGTGAACTTTCTAGAATAAAACTTCTTGGTTTTATACTCCCTGTCTTGGGAACTTGGCCTCTCACTGGAAGACACAGTATTGACACAACTTACATCTAGGTACTTTGGCAGTAGAAACTAAGTTGCTCTGAAAAGCTGAATATAGAATTAATGGGATTCACAGAAAATCTGGTTGAAAGAAGAGGGCTGGTGGATGTTGCTGTGTAGTTCTAATGATGGAGCAGGTTAAGAGACTGGTATGTGCAATGTGTTTCTGGTATCCAGCTATTCTGCCTAGTAGTGCGTTTTTACCGTGTGTGATCTTACTGCTATTTTCACAAGTTGTATTCTGTGTTCCCAGTTTAAATAAGACTATTCATGAACTAAAATCCCAAATCCAACAAGCTCGTCATTAAGTCTGTCACTGCACTCATCAGTGAGAGCGGAAGCTTGCTATAAATCAGATTTGCTTGTTACGAGGTTAGGGAGATTGAAGAAAATAGAACTGAACTCCTCGGGTCTGAACTGAATGGTATTATCTGTGGATAGTAAATAGATACTTCACTGGTGGGCACGTGGGAGGGACTTGTAGATGTGTAAACATATACTGAGTGACATGGCGGGTTTAACTATAGTACATCTCTCCTAAGACTCTCTGGACAGCTGAAGCCCTAGATTTGGAAATGCTTACTCATACAAGACTATCAAAGCTCAGTTTGAACAGGTACTCTAATCTTAAGTGAGACTGATTCCTTAACTGAACTGAGTGCAAATGAGTTGCTGTTTAGTGGAAACACTGTTTTGTTACCTCTAGTACCTTCTGGTGTCTTGGCTTAAAAGCTTGTACCCTGTGGTAAAACAAAAAAAAACAACACTGTCATGAGCTCAAGTTCCATGTGAAATCCTTTAGGACTAACTGCAATCAAGTTGGCAGAACTCTGGCTGACCTCATGGAGGATGGTGTAAAAGTGTTGCTTCTCTATTTAGACTGTTTTGGAAAGACTTCATGGCTTCCTGTTTCTCCTGTCTGGCTTGTCTTGTTTCTTTCCACTGGGGGCCTATTTCTATGCTAGTGGGATTTTTATGCTGTTTCCACCTTCCCCCTTCTTATTTGACCTGACTAGTAACAATTGGAGATCTGCTTTTGCTCCTCTGTCTTCTTTCTGTCTGTTGTATTCCCCTTATACATCTGAGTTTTGAAATGCATTGCTCGTGCCCTTTCTGTTACTGGAAGGAGTGTGTAACTCTATGCTTTCTGAGTTCTCCGAACATGGCTGTCCAAGCCATGTTAAGTTCCCTCATTAGTTCCTGGGAAGAGAAATAGACTTTTTTCAATCAAGATCATCAGATTCTTTATTTTAAATTACTTTCTCTGCACCTAAAATTCAAACTTTGCTGATTTATTTTTTTATATATGTATATAACAGAACAAACTTTCATTATAGGTTCAAAGGCTCTTTATTGCCCACCATCTCCTTGTCACCTTCTTCCAGTACCCTCCCACATACCAGTCTTTCCTTTTTTGCACATTTGGCACCAATTCTTTTTTTACCAATTTGAGCATTTTGGTCTGTTCTCATTCCAGCTTCTTTTTAACTAGTAGTTTTGTTTTGTTTCTGACCTAATGAGGTAGGCCTGAAATGACTTCTACTGCAGCTCCTTTTGAAGGTCTTGTGTTCTCTGTTCAACCCATCCTAGAGAACTCTTTGCTTTCATTAGTCAAACTTAGCCATAATACTTCCTTATTGTCCATGGCTCTACTTGACGATCTTGTTCATCTGCAGCTTTTGGGGAGCTGACTATCCTCTTTTCCTTAGGGTTATGTCTCTCTGGACTCCTCTGGTTTTGCTGCATTGCTTGTCTAAGGGCACCTTCTCTCCTACTTGGCACAGGTTTGTCATTTGGCACCTCTGCTGTATCTTTGGGCATGTTCTTTGCTTCTATGGCTTTAGCTACTATTCTAGTGCTTGCTGTTTGCCTGTTGCTGTGCTCTTATGTTCTGGGCTTGCATGAAAATCTACATTACGTTTTAGTTCTATGCAAGAAAAACAGCATCTCCTCTTGATGTGGTTATGCTGATTGTTCCTTGCATAAGCTCAAGTTCCTTAAAGTAATCTTATTTATCCTAGGTGTTCCTTTCAAGTTTTCTTTGAGTGTAGAAATGCCCTTTCTCATAGGCTAATCCTTGCATTTACAAAATTTTCTTGTCAATGTTTACTTGGAAAGCTTCCACTGTTTTTGTTTTGTTTTAAAGCACAACAGACTTACTTATCTTTAGATTTTAACAGGTACACTATACTACTTTGTAAAGTGCTTCTAAAGAACTATGACTGGACTGGACTTTGGAAAGTCAGAAAAGGAGATATGTTCCCTGCTTTCAAGTATCAATGCAAGTATGTGGGATCACAGGACAGGCTAAGGCACATGTAATGCAAGAACAGTATTCTAATATTAGACTTCCTGATCATCACTGGACACACATGGTAAGCTCTCCGTGGGTGTTATGACAGAATTGAGTTTAGTGAAGATCTGAGGGCAATTTAAGCAGTGACCTTGTAGATTTGATTCGGGTAATCGGTTAACCATTGCAGGGAATGCCACTTACTCATTTATTTCTGTTGCATATGCCTTATAGTTGCTGTTAAATAAGACAACTTCATGAAAAATCTTGGAAAGCAAGAAGTTTTCTTCCTCATGTCATAATGTCTCGTGAGTAATCCATTACGTAAGTCTAAGTTTTCATCGTTTTTCCCCCCTCACTGGAGATTGATGTTCTTGCTTTCACTACTAAGGCTCAAGAGTGGTAAGTTATGATAGCTAAAACATAGGCTCTTATGTATGAAATTGTTGATTTCTTTTTTCTACTAATTTTTGTAGTGTGATTAACTGTCTTTGGTTGTGAGCCAAAGATACAGTTTTTTTCCTCATACCAGAGAGTTTGCATTCCACACTTCACTGAAAAACACTGAGGTAAACTGTAGCCTGCCAGTCTTGCTGGGCAGAAAAACTAGGCTGAATTCTGTTTTGCTAAAGCACATTCTTGTGTACTAGCCCAGAAAACATAACACAGTGGACCAATATAATTAATTCAGAAGCAGGGAAAAGACCTGTGGGTTTTAACAGGTGTAACTCTTCATCTTGCTTGTGGTACAAGGACCAAATCTGTGTAGTGGCATTAATGTTTGATTAATTTTTTGACAGCTGGATGGTGCTGTTGCACAACAGACTGCACGAAAACAGATTCAATCCTCTGACTGCTGGCTCTTTTGAGGTTTTTTTTTTAGTGTCTTTCCACAGAGATTGCAGAATTCATGCAGGAGAAAGGGAAGATTGGTGCTGTCTTTACACTATAAACAGAAAAGGAGGGCAGTTTCAAGCACTACTGGAAAATAGGAGGTTTCTGTGTAGCCTAAGAAGCTTTGGAATATGGTCCTGAAAAGAGTATTTTTCACTGTGGTCATTTGATCACAGCTGAGCACTGAGTAGCAGCTGCAGCTCTGTGTTAGGCTCAGGTGAATGTCCAGGCCCCCATCTGTACATTTTTACCATCTCATCTTTCCCATTACTCCCAAATGAAAGGCCTTCATATGTTTGGCTCGAAGTTTTGTGCTGCCACAATTGGGATTAGTCTGTGCTCTTGAAGGTGCTAGAAGTCATCTAGCTCTAGAGTCTTGAAAACTTCTTCAGGTTTAATAGCTGATGTTTTGAAAGACAGAGAGTTGCATGTGCTGCAGCTCTGAGTGGTCTCCTAATAAAACTTTTGCACTCGTGTGTGATCAAGGCCACGTGTATAGGGAAGGTTTCCCTAAAACTTCTGCAGAATATACAGGATGAATGTAGAGTATACAATGTTATTCTGTTCCAGTGCCTTTGGAGGCAGCCCCTAACTCGTGCTAAAAGTATCTGCACCTTTAAAGTGAAATCTTCAAAAGAGCTTTAAAAAAAGTAATCTTATTGTGAAAAACATTTAGAAAAATAGTACACTATTGCAGGCTGTTCTCTTGAAAGAATATGAGGTAACTGGAGGAAATAGTTTGGTAAGTATTGAAAATAGTAAAAAGTAAAAAACATACTAGTTGAGATTTTTTCATATTTTTGTTGCAGCCTATTTGATAGAAAAAGATTCTAAGAGGGAAGTACTGCATTATAGTGACTAAATGCAGTGGGTCATTAAAATAAACCCTTAGTATGTTTTATGCATATGATACCATGTATATAATAACTAAGACTCATCAGATTTTGAATAAGTAGTTTCTTGCCATGCTTTAGGTTTCTGTCCTGATGAGTCCTATCTTAAAATTCTTTTCTGAGGATTTTCAGTTTTAAGGCCTTCAGCGTAATTATCTTCAAATCCCATGTGATTACCTCCCTTTTGACAATTGAGCTGCTACCTTGAAATTCTTTTGCAACTTGCAAACTTCAGCATCCCTTTCAATAAGCTCAATCTCTTGTCTTCTTCACACTGATGCTATATTCTGCCCTGGACACTATTTTCCTATGGCATTATTATTTTAACTTTAGGTACAATACAATCCTGATTTCTATAGTATCTTGCTTTTATCAGTTACTCTGCTTTCCACCCTGTCTTTAACTTTGATCACCATCCATGCCTGAAGTTCAAAGTTCATCTTGGAGGTTTTGTTCTATGGCTTTATCCTCCCTAATTACCTTTTGCCTAGTAATCTTTCACAAGCTAATTTCCATTATCTCTGTCTGGAATATCTTCCCTGCTCATATATGTATTATACAACTGATTTTTTTTTTCTTTTTTTGCAGCACTATCTTTCAACCCAAAAATACATTTCTGTACCTAATTGCCTGTGATTAAAAAAAACTCAAAAAAGGCTACTTTAGCAGCAAACTCCAAAACTACCTGTATCTACATAAAATGCTAATTAGGCAGCT